TAGAGGTGTCTAGGGGTGTCCATGAGCCACCCCAAACCGCGGGGCCCTGGTAATAAACAAAAGCAATGGGATGGGGGAGTTCAAGTTGGGGTATTTGGGTGACGCAACGAGGTGGAATTTCTTTTCACAAGTCTCGATCCCCCAAGAACGAATCGCAGAAACCATATACACAGCATTTGCAGACCAACATGTGTTTTCATATCTTGGAAAGACTCCCTTTGGGAGTGATTTAGTTTTTTGAGTGGACCCGGAAGTGTGGAGGCTGGTTGCTTCCACTTACGAGGAATGAAGCTCCTTACCGGGTCACTACCCGCCTTACCGGTAGTGCCATCGCTTGGTCTCCAGGTGGGTCTCCCCCTAACTCCATATATATATATATATACTGCTTTTGGGCCGTCGCCCGGCTGCAGTCATCGCCCCGCTGGGCCCAAGGTGAAGACCACCACTAGGCAGACGATCTTCCTGCCAGCGACTGGTTTCTGAAACCTCTGGGCCGCGCGGGAAAGCCTTATTTCGACGGGAAATGAACTAGTCAGCTAGCACCGAAGATCTTGAGGGATGATCAGGTCGTGTTCTTTTGTGACCTGTGAGTGGGGTGAACCAGGGAAGTCTATTGAGTCTATTGGAGACTTGGATGGTGCTGGGACTGCGGCTCCGGCCCAAAGTGTCTTTGTGAGGCAGCAAACCTGAACGCGACCAGAAGAAAAACCCTGGGAGTCCAGTCGGCCATGTTTCTAATTGTCTGACGAGTTGATGATCCGAGTGACTCGGAATGTCGTTCACTTCGGTGCTACAAATTCTCGAACTGGACTTCTAGAGCTTATACCAGCTCCCTCCAACAGGTCACCACCTGCGACCCTGCAAAAGCCTCCAGAGGAGACCTGTTGGAGGATCCTGGTACAAGCAGTTCTAGTCTAATCTAGTCTAGTCTAGCGCTTCTGCACCAGAAAATCGGACAGACACACTGCCAGCCACACACAAACGACCAAGAAACAATAGATCGAGGCTTCAGAATGGGGTTTTGGATCTACTGGAAACCATTGGATTTGCGGCATCCAGTGGTTTTCAGGTGAGACAGCACTTTCCTGTTGATGAACTGGATTGGGGGATGGATGCTGAGAAGGTCGAGCAAAAATGGTCCATGGGGGTTTCATCCAGTTTCCTTTGCCCCGACCGTCCCCCGACCGGCAAAAATCAAGGGCGGGATGGGTCAACTTAGCTCCAATAGTTTGCGGTTGATTGGGGTACAACCGGGAAGACTTCACTGGCTCTATGCTTGTCAAGTCGCTCCGAAAAAGCATGGGTGAGCAAGCAGTAAGGAAGTTCCATCCCTCTGTCTGGCTGTCCGCAAGCTCCATCATGCAGGGATTGGTGACCTGAACTTGGTTGGCCCTGATACCAGGTATGGGGTCCTTTGACCCTCAGCTTGGACCATCTCCGGCACCGCAACCTCCATCGACCTCCCAGGTGATTGGCTTGGTCGAAGCAGAAGACTTGAAGCCCAACGATCTCGTCGGCGTGAACAAGGCCGGAGCCCGGTGGCCGCGAGGTTTGGGTCGCGGTGGTGACAAACCGGGTCCAAGGGTCTGGGTTCGCAGGTGGAAGCCTAGAAGCAGGTGGATGTTGCAGTAGATCAGCTGCTGGTCGGGCGAAGAGAATGATTTCGGCCCAAAGATCTTGACTTTTTTGAAGCCTCTCATGGTTTGGTACCATGACCAGGATCCATCAACAGGTCAGGTGTTCAGGTGTTGAGGGTCTCAGAATCCTCAACACAATAGGGAGACCCCCAGCCAATGGGCTGTGGTCTATTTCCCTTCTTCCAGGGGTCTTGGAGAGGTCCCCCTTTTTTAATACACACCCACACTGTGCATCCTGCAATCATATTGAGATCACCCTAGTAGACACGAGCACAAACTATATATATAATATATATATACTTCATTGTTGTTCTAAGCAGTAGAAGCTATTCTGGTGTGAACTGTGAACTGCAGTAGCATATAGGAGGTGCCATGATCAAGGCTTGGGCTTTTCTTCACCGCCCATTTTTCTCACCCACGGAATCGCTCTGATTCGCCCGTCGTGTTGCGGTTCGCTTGCTTGGTCAGGGTTTCAGCCACCACAGCGAACCGGGCCGGAGAAGAGCTCGGTTGTCTCGGGATGTTCCCCCTGGGCCCTGAGGTTTTTCAAGGATTTGGGGCACCTGCCACACATCCCACGGATTTTGCTGAGGATCCACCAGGTTCTGTTTGGGTTCCTTGGACGCAACGGTGTCGCAAAAGCAACTCATCAAGATCCCATCAGTGGTGCTGCCAGGATTCGTACTTGGTGCTCGACAAGTTGCTTGGAGTGGATTCAGAAGGTGTGTCATTTCTATTCATTTGTTCTTTTGTCCCCTTGGAGAACACACTGGAACAGAAGTCTGGGTGACCGACTGCTCTCTCGCCTGCCCCAACCCGTCGTGGTCTTCGGTGGTCGTTCGATCCGCTCCACTGGAGCTGAGGAGGATCGGTCCGCTCCACCGGAGTGGTCACAGGTCGGTCGGTCGACCGAGACGACCGGTGTCCGGTAGTGTCCGGGTGTCCGGGGTCGGTCGGCGCGTCGCTAAGCAGCGGCGTCCAGGCGTCCGAGTCAGAGTCCGTAGTGAAGAACTGGAACTCACATGGTGGTTACGTGGATGGCCTGGCCGGAAGACCATGAAATCCACTAGAAACAGGTGGTGAACTCCACTTCCATGTTAGTTCCAGGGAGTGTAAGCATCTGAACAGTTCGCGACCTCGAGTCACTTGAAGAGGAAAGTCGAATATTCTATGCTCTTCGTGAGTCAAATCGTGGAAGTGGATGGAATGGTGCCGTGATTTTTCGGGATGACCCCTATCTTCCTCTTGTTCCGAAATACCAAAAGACAGGTGGGTGAAGAACCTTCACTTTCATGAATGTGAACACCTTCCTCGCAGACCTCTCTGTCTCAAAAGAAGCCCTCCTCTGTTCCCCACCGCGCTCCTGTAAGTCACGCCGTGCAGGCTGCCACCGGAATACGACTCCCGTGTGAAAGCCATGGAGGCCGATCGGTTTCGGTCGTTCGTCCGGAACGGTGTGGACGTTCGTCTGCGGAGGCCGATGGGCGACCCGTTCGTCCGGAAAGGGAGGCTTTTGTTCGGTTCGTCGCATGGACGATGCAGCTGGGAATGGACAATGAAGGGACCTTCGGATCCGAAGGAAAACAACACAGGCCCGAGAGGCTGAAGTAAAGGTCATGTTCAATGAAGAGCGCAGTTGATGCAGTTGATGCAGTTGATGGACAAGCAAGCATCGAGGAGTTGTGTGCAAATTGCACATCGAAGATCAAATATGCTCTCTAGCCTTCCGTTGGAGCATTCATTTTTTGACCCGGTTTTGTAGCTTGAAGTCCTGAGTAAAACAATTGTGGTTCGGGATATTCAGGCTATTCAACGAACGGTTCATCTCCGGTCTGGTCTGACCCGGTACAGGTTTCTCACCAACTGAAGGTGTGAAGACGAGACGGCTCACTTTGTCAGACTTGATCACGGTTTCAAACCGAGAGGACCACCCGCAACCACCAAATTCTAGATGCACTGTCCTTCCTTGAAATCTGGTCCATGCAGATATCATGAGATATCTTCCTTCCACCTAGCTTTACCTCCAGTGAATTCTCGTTGAGACCTTCCCGTGTTTTCGGTTCAGAACCAGCAACAAATGGGTCTTCTGGCGATCCTTTACACCCTGCACCTGAAGTCGACTCTCTTTTCTGCCTCAGGTGGATGAGAAGCCCACGGACCAATACAGCGACATTGGCGGCTTGGAGAAGCCCCTTGGCCCGGACACTGCGTCCATGGACGTCGAGTCCGTCCCAGTGGGGAAGATGGATGCATATATGGTCGTCCTGTTTTTGTATGGCTAAGAGCCAAGTTCTGTGTCTTTATGGTGGTGAGGTGTGGAGCAAACATGGTCCAGACCCGGCAAAATGCTGGGATTCAGTGAACATGCTCGATTTGCTCTGTTCCTTCTACTGCAGAGGGTGTCCTGCGCACACGCTCCCCTCGACGAGGAGGAAGCAGTACCGATGCTCCTACCTCAAGTATACCCACGGGAACAGCTCGCGACCTTTCATCCACCGGGCCTTGCCAGTGCACGGCAGTGCTCAAGGGCACGGCTCTTTCGCTCGTGTTCAGCCAAGTTCCGCCGCTGGAGCAGCCGGATCAAGTTCCCATCGAAGGAACCCGTTGCTCTGGGACGGAACCAAGAACCATGAACTGTTTGACTTGAGGGTTTTAGACGACAACACCAGGTCGAACTCTTCTCACGGTTTTAATGCCCCACAGTTCTGAGGCAGATCCAGGAGCTACAAGAGGCGAGTTCGCTGCCGGCTTGAGAGCGGCTGGCAGCGCCCCCCGGAGCACTCAATTTGGCACGACGGAATCCAAGGAATCCAAGGGGGAGAGACCCGCAGTGAGAATTCTATAGTTGGTGATACCAGGTGATACCCGTTCCTGACCTAGTTGGTGGACAACCTTTAACCTTTTCAACATTTGGGGGACACCCCACCAAAACGAACAGGTGGAAAAAGGTCAAGCTCTCTTGAGAGAGTCAGGTTCGTGACCTCCAACGGCGTTTTGGGGGGGCACTTCACCTCAAACTCGGGGCGTCAACAGCCACGACTTGACACGGTTGGTATTTTCTCACGACTGATGCCCCGCACGATCCACTGGTTGCAGCACGCTGGTGCAGAAACCAGATGAGTAGATGTGTTTCTCATCCAACCGGTCTTTGTAGATTCAGGTTCATTCTGCCGCAAGGAACGTCGCGTACATGGTCCACGCCCAGTTTGCCCAGGTGGTTTCTGGTTCGCACCAATCAATGAAACAAACAGTACTCAGTAGTCCCCCTCAGGCCCACCAAACAGCTCACTCAGCTCATTCAGATTTGCGAGCTTAGCCTTTTGTAGTGACCGGGTCTCTCCCGGCCAGGCCATTGTGTTGCCGATGACGCACAAGGAGCGCTTCGAGAACATCGGCATCCAACCGCCGAAAGGCGAGGGCGAACCAAAGCCTCGGCCGCGGAGCCCGCGCAGCCCGCGAGCGAGCGAGCGAGCGGAGGTACGGAGGTACGGAGGTCGGTGGTTGGCGAAAGAGGGTTTGCGGGTTGTCTGCATTCACCCAGCAGAGCGATCGAGTCGTTTTTTTCTCAGACACGGTGTTTTGTGGCATATTTACCAAACAGGTGGGGTGGTTTGGGGGTTGGATGTAGGCATATAGTCCCATGGAGCTTTGTTAATGATACAACTGTTGGGTCGCGGTATCGCCCACTCAGGTCTTTCAACTCCGTTTCTATTTTCCTTCTGATGTGTATTAAGGAAACAATCCTGCATCAGAGTCCTGCATCAAGTTTAGATGAAGCGTATTCAACTGGTTAACTGGTTGTCATGTTGTGGTGCAGAACTCTTCCATGATGTTCTCATTGTGTTCGCCCATCTGGAGGACGTCAACACTTCCCAGAAACATCCGTCTTTAAACCGAAACCCACTGTGTTGTGGGGGGACCCCCTCCTTCAGAACCGCCCCATCCGAGTTGAACCAACTCCGCTCGTCCAACTCCCACCCTCAAAGCACTTGTTCCGCGAGGCGTGCTGATGCACGGGCCCCCCGGCACGGGCAAGACCATGATGGCGCGCGCGTGCGCCGCTGCGACTTCGGCGACGTTCCTGAAGCTGGCCCCGGGGCCTCAACGGGAGCGCAGCGACGGGTGGGGGTGGGGGGTGGTTCTGCGATCGAATGGATTCTCCCATGACTTGGGTTCGGGTCAATTCATCTGAAGAGAGTGGATGTATGGATGCGGCTGCGAGTCTGATGTATTTTTGGGTGGTTGCGAACTGGACACACATCCAGCTTCAGCAGCCTGTCCTGTTCGCTCGCTCGCTCTCGCTCTCGCTCTCGCTCTCGCTCTCTCTTTCTCTCTCTCTCTCTCTTTGGGGATGGTCTAGCAGGGACACAAGGTGTTGACCCGCAGATGCATGGGTTCAGCTCTCAAAACAAGGAGGACCCGATTTTGCTGCACTTGTTGGCTCCCTTTGAGCATCACAGTGATAAATCTGGGAAGATCTTTTTCTCCCAAGAGACGCTTTGGAACATTTGGAACACACACTGGTCACCGCACCCAGTGGGGTGGGCTGAAACCGCACCTAGTCACTCACCTCCCCACCGCTTCGCCTCTCACCAGTCGGAGCGACGCCGACCGGTGCGACCGGGTCCAAGGCGGCACCGCAACTGGTGCAGATGTTCATCGGCCCGGGGGCCGAGTGCGCTCGCTCGCCAGCGGCGACCGCGCGGCGACCGGGCTCAGCGGCTCCGCTGCTGACTCGTCAGTGGGGTCAGGTTTAGGAGTCTTGGAATTGTGGGTGCATTTGGGTCCTTTTTAGACGAAAGAAGAGTTCCTGGAAAGCACCCATGCAGGTCCTGCATGATAAAGACAATGTAAAACAATATTCTTTAGGCTGTAGCACTAACTTTCCCATTTTAAAGGTGGTGCCGGCGCCACCAAGTGCTTCTGTTCTTTGGGAAGTGGGAAAAGGATTTCCTGAAGGAGGTTAGCAGATGCTTTGGTGTCGCGACTGGGGGGTTTTCGGGTCGGATTTTACCAAAAGGGGGGGTTGAGAGTTGAGATTTGATGGGTGTCCAGGCTATAAAGGGATCTCCAGCGCCAGACAGGGCAGTTCCAAGGAACTCTCGGTATTTCAGTCTTCTGCAGGGAGTTTGAGGTTTATTTTCTGCAGTCATTCTGCAGTCCAAGTATCGCAGAGCGAGTATTCCTGAGCTACGACGAGGAGAATCCCAGTGCAGAAGATGAGCGACTCGCCATGTTTTTAACATATTGATTATCTATTTTCAAGACCTTGTAAACAGCCATTTGTAAGAAACTCCTGACGTCATGGACGAGTGGGTATGAACGTATAGACGGGCGGGCGAGCGCGCGGGCGAACGTACGGATGTACATGCGAGCGCGCGGGCGAACGTACGGATGTACATGCGAGCGAGCGGGCGAGCGTGCGGATGTACACGCGAGCGCACAGGCATACACAAAGCCAGCCGGACAGAGTTTTTCTTTCAGATGTCAATTTTGTCTGGGTGATGAACGCTGAACAAGTCAATCAGTCAAGCAGTCAATGAGCACGAATTGTTTTGAAGGGTGGAAGTAGAGAAGGCCTGCAGGATCTGCAAAGGGCTTCCATTTTCAGCTGCGCTGCGACCTGAAGTTGCCCATGGAACTTTCTATCAAGTGACACTGGCCGTCACTCGCAGCAGACAGAACAGACAGCACGAGACTCTACCTACCAGGGTTGTAAGTTTCTAGAGACAAGACGCAAGACCAGACACGAGCAATGTCTCAATGACTTTGTACTGTTTGCAACAGTCAAAGACATACAGTGACATACAGTACAGTATCTTAGTATCTTGTAACAGTATCACTTATATCAATAGCTAAATTAAACATCATCAACAACTATAAATTCATCGTTTCATTTCATAGATTCATAATTCAAAATTATCATGTCATCATATCAATATCAACGACTAGCCCATATGGCCTGCTATGGCCTACAATAAGTCATACTTATATCATGGACCAGACTCATGGTGTGTCAGGAAATTCACACGACGCGGAACACAGGCATATCGCCGGATCTAATTTGAAACCAAAAAAGTCCAAGACATAGACTTAAGCCCTACTATACTTATCTTAATATTATTTAAATAACTATCTTCAATACTGTTCTATTTATTGAAGGCTAGGCTGTAGACTACAGGAAGCGTCTTGTCATTGTTTTTGCATGCACACCCGGCTACCACTGTGCATGTGGCGATGCCAAATCAACAGCGGCGGCAACAGCGGCGGCGACAGCGTCTGCGTTGCTTGGATCGTTGGGCTTCCCCTCGAAGTCACCATGTTCTTTGAGTGCTTTAGGAAGGATTGATGAAACAGTTGACTGGTGTGCCAGGTAACGGTTGCAGGTAACTTGTAACTTGTGGTCTTTTTCTACACTTGGCAACTTGTGGTCTTTTTCTACCTAGGTCAGACTGGGGCAAGCTCCGAGACAAGAACGGTGGCATTGGCTGCGTTTCTGGGTTGCTTGGAGTCAACAGGATGACAATTATGCAGTCATTTGTTCAGGCAAACGCTACCCTATTTTTCACAGACTGTGCGCATTCAATGTCGCTGTGAGCAAATGTAGGTAACTTAATAACAGTAAACTTTGGTCAACTTTTGCAAAATGCCAAATAACTATAGACTAGACTATAACTATAACTATATTTATATTTTATATTTATATTGCCTACCTGTTTGCAATCAATGAGAATGAGTGATCCCAAGGCTTTACATACTGCAGCAGCAACATTCATAGATATGTATTTACTATTCTGAAAATGATCGTGACTCTGACTCATGTTTTTGGTTCAAAACCTTTGTGAAGATTCATGTCAAGGTCGCTTGCAAAACGGTTTCTGGCCGGGCATGCTGTTCGTCAACGAGATGTTGGCGGCAAAGCAGCTGGATCAGGGGGTTACAAACGTTGGCTGCCTTCCGCGATGTTGAGAGCAGCGTCCCCTAGTCTTTTCAGATAAATCTTTTGATGACTGGTCACACGACTAAGTTGAACGTGAAATAGTTGCGTACTAAGCCACACCTCCTCAACTCTTTTGGATCTTGCGTTCCTTTCAATGAACGCAGCCCAGTGGCAGGGCGGCGCAGCTGCCTTGTGCACAGCATAGCATGGTAGTGTCCTGCACTGACTCCACTTGACGAAGGCTAAAAGGCTTATTTGGTTCATGATAGTGATGTGTGATTCATGATTCAGATTTCCATGAATTCAGAATTCAGGATTCAGGTTTCATTATTTGAATCAGCTGCAGGATCCAGACTTGTTTTCGGGTTCCTGTATGTGTGCTTTCTTACGCTTATCGTGGTCTATGGAAATATATTTTTGCAGCCTCGTTTAACAAAGACTCATTTGTTGGGGTTTGATATTGTTTCCAATGTGTTCAGCGTAGGGGGGTGCTATTGTATTTGTTCAATGTAATTTGCTCTGTTCATTTTGCTCGCTTACAGTCCTTCAACATACCCAGGCTGACAGAATAGATAGACTAGCTTGGTCACAAACAAAGCATATGCGTGAGTCATCAGCTCATGAGACAGCATTGTAGTCGCGCCGATAAACACATGTTGACATGTGACATGTCACATTGCGACATCGAGCCTATTTACTGAAAAGTACTTGCAGGCCAAGATTGTGTTCATAGATTAATAGATATAGGCATTGACATAGCCCCATTGGCCCATTGAGTCCACTGGTCCAAGGTTCGGGCATTCTTCCATGAGTGCCTTCAAGGAGAGCCGTCGGAAAGCTATTACTTCCATGTCGCTGAACACTGTAGCGTACTGGTTGCAAGCTTCAACTGGTTGGATTTCACAGGCCTGGCTTGCATGCTTGTATTTTTTGGTAGCAGCAGTGGGCAAGTGGATGGATAGCTTGTAAGTTGAGGATCTGTTGGTACATTACTTGATTCCACTGCGCTGCAGAACAAACGAGGTGCAGGGTGCCGTGGCCAACTTCTTCATGGCTTGTCAAAAGTCATATTGCCAAGCAGTCCTGAAGACTGAGCCTTATATGCAAGAATGGTTCATTGCCGCCAGTGAGTCATCGGCATGGGCGATTAACCAATAGTATCATTCAGTGTCAGCGTCAGAACAAAACATTATCATGGGTGTACTTTCCAATCTGGTTCTTCATCGTGTGTGTGGTGGTCAGACGGAGTTGAGTCATGGTTAGGAGTCAACAGGATTGAGATCACATGTCATGACTCTGACGAATTCATTCAGATGAATCATTCATTAGTAATTGTCAAAGTTGTTGATTTTTGTGATTCTAGTCTAGTCTGTTTCCTTGCAGCGTCAAGTAGTGGTTCTTTCGCAACCCAGGGTTGCCCAACCAATGGACCATTTCGCTTCGGCAAACTTCACTTGGAGTTTGATGACACCAGCCAGCTTCAGCGTGTGCGATTTGGATCAGAGAAGACGACTGCCGTTTTTGCAGTCTTGGTGCCTTAGCGGCAGGATGCAGCGCAAAGCAGCGTGTTTGTGTAGTATCACTATCACTTGCCATTGGATCATTGCTCTAAGGGGTGTGTTTATCAAGCGCATGACATGACATGTCAGAGTTTCTGACTGTAGCATGGAGTCATATAGAGTCTCCAGCACAGGCTTTCATGCCATGCCCTAGGTGCAAAGAACCACGCTTCTGCAAGCAGTGGGAAATGCTCCAGCCAAGCTTCTCGTTTGCGTGTGAACATTGAACTTGGAACACAGGGCCTACTCATTGTTCATTTTTTGTGACTTTGCTACAGGCGCCTTGTGAACAGCAGGGCGCCTGGGCAACCAGTAACGGTCAGAAGCAAATGACAGGTGACAGTGACAGGGTGATTTAACTAAGGTATCAGATGCATCTTGATGCGAGCCAGTACGGTCATTTAGATATAACTATAACTTATAACTTATAACTAACTATTTATATAATGTAGTTCAAACTACTGATACTGATACTATAGACCTCAATTTGTAATTGACTTGTTGTCTCTCTATGAACAAGGCCAGAACAAGCCTTGAAAACAATGTCTCAAAGAAGCGTCATAGCATAGCACTGCATAACTGCCACATCTGCTGCAACTATAACTGTAGCCATATTTATATATACGGACTATAGTTAGTACATAATAATACAGTAATACAGTATTAGATATTACATAAGTATAAGCATAAGTTTAGGTAGAAGGTTCACATACGTAACATATGTCACATACAGGTACGGTCTTGTTTTAATATCATGATGTGTTGATGGACATAACATAACATCATAAGCAGACTTTAAAGCAACAGAAGCAAGAGTACACTAAACACACACACACACACCCGTTCCATGCTCTCTGTGGATGTTCTCCAAGGCATGCTCCTATATTGACTTGTCCTGCAGCACTGCGGCATACTCATGCAGGAGGCCTGTGGAAAGGCATTGTATCAAAGCAGCCAGTGCACCCGATGCGCATCCTGTCAACAGTATGTCATGTCACGCTGGTATTTCACGCGTCTAACAGTTCAGATCTTCCTGTTCTGCATTCATTGCGGAGGGCAGTCACGCCTTGCCAGTTTTTCTCCTGTGCCAACAAGGATGGAGCAACAGCTTTGATGTATTTATCTTGGGCTTTACAAGTGATGGAGCCGAGACAAACCTTAAGTTGATGAAATGGGTGCAAAAGAACCTCCCACCCAATTGCCTGTTTCTCCACCACCTGTGTGCTATGTTATTTGGCTGTACAGACTGAGAGTTGTT